ACCTATCATTAGCTGGAACTTATCTATTACACAACATTTGTGAAACCTCGGCGATTGTTTCACCAGAAGACCCGTTTCCCCTGGCTAGCTGTGACCAATTTCCCTTTCCTTCTCGAGGTTCGCTGCACCATGGAAAAGAACGGTTGCAAGAACCCTGTCAGCGACAGTCGCGTGTTGCCTTTTAGTGGTGCTGCCTCCCCTTTTTTATACCAAGCAAACACTCGCTTATTCTCTATTCGAGTTTGGGAAACAAGAAAAAGTCAGAAGACGCGAGGTCAGGTGAGTAGGGTGGATGGGGGAGAACAGTCATCGCGCGTTAGCAAAAAACGTAGGATTTCTGACTTTCTGAGGGTAAATGGGCTGGAGCGTGTAACGGTTGTCTGAACATGTAGGCATTTTGGCCAAGTATGATTTTTGCCCGTACTATGATTATTGGTTTGATTAGTTTTCGTAAACTTTTGGAATGTGTATGATTTGAGATTTTCTAATAGAACTATATCGCCAAATGGCAATTTTGTAATTTGATTGGCACTTTAAAAGTTGTTTCTGATGGAAATCGGTTAAAAATCGGGGCATCCCTTTGGTTGGCTTGCAGAAAGCAAATTGGGGATTGTCTGGATGCCGTTTGAGGGGAAGTTGACATTTTTCTACATCATTACGCCGTAATTTTTTTAGTTACTTACGAATATTGCAACAAATCGTTCTTGGCTAGTTTAATTTGAGTCATCCGTTTCTTCGTGAAGGTAAGGGTTATTCTGAATTTGTGTCTGATTGTTTCGATGTTACATCTGAGGTTTATTTGCAGCGGTTATTGTTCCGGGAGGATTCTTCGGAAAGGGGTTTTTGTTATATCGTACCGCATGAGGAACGTTGGGATCTGGATTTGCATGTAGCTGCATTCGTAGAAAGGAAGCCGTGTAATTGATAGAGTAGCCACCGTTGTGAAGAAGCTGTCCCACAACTATTAACGAGAGATCGGGGCAGTCAGTCAAGCCGTTTTAGTGATTTAATCATACCGTCATCGGAGTCAATTGTTTGCATTCTTTCTCCTGATTACATTGATGTATCACAGCCTATACTTTTTATATGATTGTATATTATATCATATTTTTCAAAATTTGGAAATGACTTGCTTCTAACATCATCAAATTTTTATTGATTGGTCTTAGTTACCATGGGTACAATAAACAAAACAAAATCTTCATAAATCCATGGCTTACTATGTATTTAAAAACCGTAAAAAATAACGTTTTTATTTTTGGTTCATGGTTAAAATGTAAAAAAATATAGAAAAAGAACGGCTGTTTTTTATAATTTCCTCCTACAATTGGACTTTTCCAATTAGAAGGCAACGTATACCTCCTACCGTTCAAGAGTACAACAAAAATTTTCCATTTTGTAAATTTTCTACTGAATTTTTATTTCTCTTTTTGGATTTTTTGCACTTTTTGGAATCCTTTGAATTCTCTAAAATATTCTAATTTTTTGCAATTTTATGAATTTTGTAATACCTACTGTATTTTAAAATTGATTACCTCCTCAATTTTGAAATACGAACTTTGGTCCCACCTTTGTTTAGACGACGGAACAGAATCACTACAGCCGTTAGTGCCCTTTTTTTATGCTTTCGAAAACACTGGTCTCGATTGAAATATTTTGGACTTTGGGTTTGTATTTACACAGGTAGGTATTTACATTCTTCTCGCATCCATAATTTTATGTTACATAATTTTTGTATGTATGTAACACACCATGTAAATCCCTTTTTTTTGTAATTTTGGATACAGTGTGTTCTCGACAGATACGGATTGCACGGGATACTTTGTTATTATGAAGATACCGATTAGGTAAATAGGTCAATTTTTGTGTGCTATTTAAGATTATAAAAAAATAGTTTTTTAATGTAATGTCGCCAAGATGGCGGTTACGAACATATCAATTGTATGTTACATAAAGTGTTTAATCTCTTCATAATTGAACAAAGAATAATATATTATCAAGTCGATTTTAATCAGTCGTTTTAATCAAGTAGGTTAAGTAGTCGATTTATTTTTTAATCTATCATAGGTTGCCTTTCTTTGTTCAAAACAAACATCACATTTCGCGATCTAAAGATAACCTATGATGGAGTAAATAACAAAATAATTAATCAAATTTGATTAAAATTGAAAAATAATGGAGTCAATAAGGCACCCATTATAAAAGAAACACTTAATCGGGTCCATTTTTTAAATTTTCTAAACAGAGCCTTCATCAGCACACAAAACTGCAAAACTTTTCCCATTTAACCTAAACTCTATCTGTACGACCGATATACTGATGTATCAATCACGGCAACAATTTTTTTTCCTAACGAAATTGGTGCAGGTGCAGCGATTTTAAGAACCATTATATAGAAAAGAATGGGTTAAGTGCAAAAAATCGAACCACACCTATTTTCGGTGAGTCAACAGTGAAAGGTGTAACAGGAACTCGATCAAAAAATAAAAAATTATTTGGTGGTGGTTTCACAATGGGCCATTTATTTGGTTTTCGTTGTGGCTACCACTCGTAAATTGGGAGATTTCAAAAAAGTAACGCAAAAATTCGAAACAAAAAGAATTAATTTACATGAGAAATTTAACAGGTCAGAAGTCAGTAGCTTGTTCAAATGACATTCCACCATTTAGTAACAAATAAAAGGCTTTTACTAACGTTTTTGGATATGCCGATTTAAAATTCGACGAAAAAAAATAAAATTTTTGGGTGAATTTTCCTGAATTTTCCGAATGTTTCTAATTTTTTTTAAATAATCAAATATAGCTAAACGTTTCTTAATTCTCGAAATTTGTGTGACTTTTTAATTTTTTTCTTATAACATGAGAGAGCCCCTTCCGATTTAGTAAAATTTTTTAAGATTAAGAAATCCATTTGACACTTTTGTTATTAAATTCACAGAGTGTACATAGCAAATTTTGTGAAATTCTTGAGAAGGGAAAACACCTCTGAATTTGTCTACACACTGGCTGGAAGTTATTCAATTTTTCTGAATTCCTAAAATTTTTGTGTTTTAATTTTGAATTAAATCATTTTTGAATTTTTTTAATTTCTTAATTTTGATTCTTTTTGCTATACTTTTTTTGTGATATTTTGTATACTATCTGTCACAGCGCATTTTTTAAATGAAATATACCAAATTTTACATATTCTCAAACTGTACAGAAGTCTCCTTGCAACGATATATCATATATCACAGCTATCTAATCAATTAAAAATATAAATCGATAATTAAACAACAAATGCGCGCCTAACTAGAAGTAGATTAGAGCTTTATTAACATAGACGAGGAAACAAATGCAATTATTTCTATTTGTCAGATTCCAATTTAATAATGTTCCTTACAATACTATCTTGACAATATAGGGCATCAGGCAAAAAAAACAACATAACATGAACAAATGATGTAGAGGGTGGTACAAATTCATGGCCCACCATTGGGATCTCCGTGACGGTGAGATATACAGTGTAGGTTAAATGATTGATGAATTTGGAATTTGTGAAAAATCTTTGAAAATAACAGAAGTGTCACAGAAAATTTCAAATTTCTTTTTCATTTCTCTTAGCTTAAACGGTCGGAAATGGACGGTTTCCGTTAGCACCTTCTATGGGCCTACTTTTTTTCGGAGAATTTGAATCTGTTATCATAATTTCCATAACACGCTAGATGTAGATTATTCTAGAAGCTACAAGCTATCACTTTCTTGCCTATTTTTTATTGACGCCATATTGAATTTTCACGGAAGATAGTGGACAACAAAAGATTAATAAGGACGTGTCACACTATAGGGTAAATCTGAAAGGTGACATTCTGATTTTGGCAAAATATGTGTCACAGACAAATTAGAGTTGTATTAAGTTCAAGTTTCGAAATATAAACAATTAATTCGGCTAAATTTAGCACTATGCATTCTATTCTTGAAGTAAATTTGTGCATATTTTGATAGAAAATAAACTTCAATTAGTCAAAAATAGAGCTCAATAAATAAAATAATATCACTCTCTTTAAAAAAATGTAAAAATATACATGCGTTTCTTAAAAATATTTTTCAATTTTTGTTTGGCGATTGTAAACCTGAGAACAGCATCCTCCATATTTGGTAACTATTAATCGACTTCGTAGTGACAATAATAAACAGCTTAGTAATAGTGCTCGCAGCACTTAGAATACGCTGTATGTCTATTTTGGAGATATGGAAGAGGGAGGTGCGTTCAAATTCTCCCAAGCTCTCCAAATTTAGTCTAGGTAAGATAACAATGTCAAAATTTAAACATTTTTAATTAATGTAAAATATAATCTTCGTCTCTTCACAATAATATTATTAATCAGATCCAACAGCTATCTTTACTGCTTTAGTAGTATCGACACAATTACATTTTCTTTAATTTGGGATTCCCAAACTCAGATTTCTGAGTTTTTACTTCTGTTTCTTAAACACTATTCCACTAGTTCTATGTTCAGGCCTAACCTATCATAAGGTTCTAAAAAACATACAAACATTCCCTGAAGTTTCGACAGATAAAATACACACTCAAAAGCCTCAATTCCCGGAATTGGAATGGAAAATACGCGTTATCTATGATTCAATTTCGAATCAGTTATCATCAGGCGTCAAACACCAAGGGCCCATGAAATCCACGTTAGGTATGATGAAACGCATTATCAGCACAGAAAATGCCCAATAAAACCTATCTAAATGAAAATATAACACTAATAAAAAATAATTCCATAGGTTTGTTATCTTCAGTGTAAATACATGAAGTACCTAGGTGATTTTTATATGAGCTCTATTAGTGTTGACAGTATTACCTTGAGCAATTCCTTATCATTTAATCAACGGCAAATCAACACAGTTAACATTTAAAACAAATATTTTATTGCGGTAAACAGGGAACCATTGTTGATAGATTTATGTATAGGTCCGATATACGTCGAAGGAAATATACGAAAGAACAACACTTACCCAATTTATGACGGAGTTTTCTGCGCTTTTCCAGAACGTGTCTATTCATTATAACTTCCACAGGTCCAATTTTGACGGGATATGTAACGTCCAACATAATGTAAACTCGATCGGAAAATTTATCCCGAAATTCTCACAGTGGCATTTAAATAAAATGTAATTGCACAAGTTCATTAAAAAGTATCGAGGATACTTTCACTAACAAAATACACGATGAAATCTCGTAGTCTGAGAGCGAATGAACCTCATCGAGGTGTTTAACAGCATTATCAGCGTGCATGTTTGTGATAACGCGATATGTTGGTGATAGTAGTGGAACTTTGATATGATCTGTTCAAAAGAACGTTTATTCACATAGAAATTCGGTTCGTTTCGTAGGGCCCCCAATATCGAAAATGTAGGAATCGAGCGGTTTATACGCCGAGTTCCGGTCGACGTGTGAGCAGAAATGCCATCGCTATTTCGCTACATAGGAAACAACTTGGTTGTGATAAAGAAATGATAGTGGGTAGTAGATAGCCATTACTAACCAAGTACAAGATTTTTTAAGATACACCATTCACGGTCTCGTTATTTACGTATACATTTAGGAATTGAATTTTGACCTATTCCTTGAGATAATTTATCTTAAGATTACATCACATGCTAAGAGTGTGGAGACTTGGAGAGGCAAGTGATCAAAATCTCTTATCATCTTCAGATATACGAATCTATCGTTTATTCCCGGTACGAAAATTGTTTGTCACAAAAACATGTAGATCTATTGGTCCAATTAGCAATGTTGTTTGTGCGTATTTCCTGCCGAGCGGAGTCATAACTTATCATCGGTAAAACCTCAATTGGATACGCGCTTTTTTATCGATCTTTGTAGAAATCTAGAAAATTTAAATGTACACCAAATAGGATAACGGCGTAAAATGAACTACCGCGGCCAACATCCACCATGACAATATGTGTAAATTGCACACTGTATCCCAATATATTTTCATAAACTGTTACTTATTAAGAACTGATGAACTTCTATGAGATAATATTTCTTGCCTATTTTCGGCAATCGGTAGCTGAGACCTGTCGCTTGAATCTGTTCCTGCATTTTAGGTAACCACTAGCTAGATGTCAAAATCGTGACGTGTTCACCAATTCAATTGGGAAAACAGCTCGATGACGTAGAGGTAATTTTGACATTTTTAATAACCTATTCACATTTCTTTAAAGGGTCTAGCTCGTATTGCGGTTCTTGGGTCTAATCAGGGTTCTGAACCGTCGGCATCACTAGGGGAAGGGAGAACCTAGTACATGATTGATGGGCGATGTAAACTTCTTACATGGTAATTGGCAGCACAGTAAGGGGGTGACCTGTTTGATAGGCCGTAAACGTGCTGTAACGCAGACAGATGTAGATACAAGAACTTTGGGTTTACAGGGGACGTGTAAGAGGTCAGGTTGAGTCTCTTTGTTATAAGAGAGAGAGAGAGAACCAACTGAACCATAGGACTTGCATTTATATCGGTAGACGAATCAAATTTTACCTAATGGTTGATGTCTGTTTCAGGAAGCTTTAGCTTAAAGATGGCAGAGGACGCAACAGGCACTTGTGGTCTGCTCAGCCTATTTCTCGACTCAGAAGAGGCTCCATCTACCAGGCAGTTGGCGGAGTTGATTGAGTCGACCTGACGTTGGGCTCCTTTTCAATAGCTCACATGAACACGAGTTGGGAGGTGTCTGATGTGCCGTCACTTTCTGACCAAAGGCACATTCTTTTCAAATTAAATCTGACATGCCACTGCGGTCTCTGTTGGTTTCGGACTATCCGATCCACTGTCTGGTATGTTGCGAAACTGTCAGAGCAGTTGGATACCTTGGCTCTGTCGGAAAGTAGAGCAGGTGGAAAAGGGTGGCTGCATTAGTAAGCAACATATGAGGACAGCTGTAAAATTGGGCCTTTTCGAGAAACGAAGAAAACACCTTGGTGGAACTCAGACCTTGAAAATGTACGTAAGAAGGTCCGCAGACTCTTTAATAAGGTCACCTGCCTGCAGACTGAGAAGATCTCAAAATTGATCAACGCAGGTATAAGGACCATATTCGAAAGTCTAAACGAAGATCATGGAGGACCTTCTGTAGATAGAAGCTTTTCCAGAAGTTCAAAAACTTCGTAAGATCTTTTGAAAGACCCAAGGCAAAAAGTAGGAACATTGAGATTCCTTGCGGCAAATATACGTTTACCTCGGGTGAGGATCTCAGATGTTTCCTGAAAACAAACTTTCCAGGCCCTGGGGACTACGTACCTTCGGACCCACCAGGAGGGGCTCAAGGTCTCACCAAATCAGTAAAATATTTGGGAATTATCATAGACTCTCCCTGATCTTGAAAGCGCACATTGAGCAAAGAAGAAAAAAGGCCACTGCATGTATATGGGCATGTAGCTTTTGGTTGTACATGGGGACTTAAATCCTCGAATAGTATATTGGCTTTACACTGTAGTGATAAGACCACGAACGGTGTACGCTGGGTAAGGTAGAGACTCGCCTGCCCAGGAGTCACTGGAGCCAGGGAAACCACACCTTTACACTTGGCCTTTATACTTAGCTGTGGAGGCAGAAGCTCGGAAGCTTTCCGTGCGGCTAAACGATTAAAGGTACGTTTCCTACGAAGCGTCTGACGCGTGCGTCTGACGCGGTGTGGCTTTTTCACATGCAAATGGAGACGGCGGCCGCATGCAGGTTAGAACATGGTTCCATTGCTTTCTATTGAGGCGGTGCATTGCGTCAGCCGCATTGCGTCACGCTTCATAGGAAACGTACCCTAAGACGAGTGTAAGAATCGAAGTAACCTTGGGCAGGGGCGGATCTAAGAGGAAACCCGATCCCCTCCCGTAACGAGCTCTGAACCTGGTTGCAAAGGAATGGGAGTAGACCAAATGGGCCTTTGGTGTGCCTAGGTGCTGCCTGGTCAGGCCCCCCTTATGAATAGAATAGAAGTACGTTGTTTTTTCAACTGCCGAACGTACAACAAAATGGTAGTTTTTGGTTATGCCTTTTCTCATTTTGTAAAGCGTCTCTCGAAGAATGTGTTGCTTATCAAGGACATCATGTGGTCATTTTCACCTGGCCACTCATATCACTCAGACTTACTACCCTAAAAAACTACCTCGATAAACATGTGATCTTGAAGAAATCAAAAATTACGTTTTCAAAATTCGAAAAAAATTGCAATTTTTGGTCGGGTCTCAAAAATGGCCAGAATCGCATGAAATTTGGTGGTTACTAAAGGTTATTTAAGAACCTGCCAGCCTGCCTAATGCGTAACTGACCTAAGAAATATAAAAAAGCGCAACTTGATTAATTTAGACGAGGCTTATTCAGGAATTCAGGATCGGTACACTACTTGTTATAAGGCACCGAGACGTTTCAGTATCTCGGCAACTTCGGAAAGAGTAGTTGATTTCCACAATTGTAGTAGGTAGCGTTCTTGTGGTGAGCGACGTTTAAGCATTAGAGCCGCACCTCTTCCGCAAACACACCCCTCCCACTGTGGGCGGTGGGGTGTGGGAAGCTTCGGCGAGTGAGATGGGGAATAATTGCAATTTTACATTTCTCACTCAACGATTAGATGTGGGGTACGACAATGTGTCACTCCAGTTGGCTTCCAAACATAAGAATGATGATGAATTAAAAAATGTCATTAAAACTACCCCCTATGACACTTCTCATTAAAAAATCACGTCGAAAAATGTTATTCAACAACTTGAAATGACTTAATTATATTATACAAGTATAAATTGTGCACAACTCTTGTGCAGATAAAGCGCTTGATGGTTATAATGGGGAGGGAGCTCTTTCCACATAAACCTATAAAACGGACGCCTGGTACACATTCAAAATCTACGCTATAGAGGGTGATTCACGTAGCCTGTTCGTTATATATATATATATATAATCGCGTTTTCGTCATAACTATCATATAGTTTGATGCTAACAGACAGACAGAAATAAAGGCTTTCACCGAAAAATGCATCGATTTTTGGTTATTTCACTTTAAAACTTTCAGTTTTGGCGTTTGGCGAATAAGAACCAACCTCCGTTTGTATTGGGTCTACAGATACCATAAACCAACCATTCTGTTTGTTTTTTATAAGGTACAAAAATGGCTTTTGAGACAAAATACTTACTTTTTGATTTATTCGCGAAAAACCATCTAAAAACGCGGGATTTTTGGTTTCATAAATGACACCTTCACTCGCATAGGTATAGGTAGAAAAATATTGACCTTTAGAACAAATAAAAGTCAATCTGCCTATTCGCGAACTATTTTTCACCCTTGAGAAGAGGTGGCATCCATCCCCAGGATAGAAGCTACTCCAGTACACCCTATACGAGGGTGCTTTTATCCCGGGGATGGATGCCACCTCCTCTCGAGGGTGAAAAATGTTTCGTGGATAGGGTAAGGAAAATCTAAATTACTAGAGCTCAATAAATAAAATAATATCACTCTCTTTAAAAAAAATGTAAAAATATACATGCGTTTCTTAAAAATATTTTTCAATTTTTGTTGACCTTTAGAACAAACAAAAGTCAATCTGCCTATTCGCGAACTATTTTTCACCCTTGAGAAGAGGTGGCATCCATCCCCAGAAAAGAAGCTACTCCAATACACCCTATACGAGGGTGCTTTTATCCGGGAATCGGGGCTGTTTGGCGTTTTACACTTACCCACCACTAACTACCATCGTCACCGATCATCACTCAACAACGTGGAAGTTCCTTGAATATAAAGAGAACATGCCGTACAATAAGACCACCCTATATATCTTGTAATACCCAATTTCACAAACATAAAATTCGAATAAATTTTTATATTCAAAGCAATGTAATTGTCATGGTAATTTATAATGTAGCGTTCATTAAAGTGACATATATCTGCCGCAAGATATAATGACTTTTTGGCACACGACTGGATCGCATCTTTGAATCGGTTCCAGTGGAAGAAGTTAGCTATTTTATAATGAAGGAGAAATTGGGCGTGGTGGAATGACACCGAATTTTCGCTCGCCCTGTGTATATGTTAAAAAACGATCAACATCTCTATCTTAACCCAAATTGTTATCTAGCCAGTTTAGATACAGATTATTATTTTAAGAGAATATAGCACTCGAATAACAAGGTTCTAATTTAAAATTGCAGTGAAAACTGAGAACGACTGGAAATAAGCTGAATACACGATAAATCTGAAAACTTTATCGCGCACTTCAATCAATACGTACAATCTACCTCTCTTGCATGAAGGTTTCATGTAATAACTTTAAAGTAAATATGGAAAATTTTCTTTGTCATTTCGTGTTTTTGTTGTTATCTGGCTGTAATATCAGTCGTTCCCAAGGTTCTCGTAATCTCACCGAATAACATTCCTATCTCGCTATCACTGGACCCACCCTGTTTACACCCCTAACTGACACATATTTCTTTTTTATGTAACGCTCCAACGTGAAAGGTGTAGTTGGTAACGCGAGAATA